CAGCCCACCACTGGGCACATACAAGCACACAGGGACAATTTAGAGATGTCCGTTAATCTACCCATCTAGTCTGAAGAAGGTGCTGCAATCTGAAATAGAAGCCAGGACCTAGGAGGCATTTTACTCACTGGCTGTTTCTTCTTGGAAGTTTACCAGATTTAACTTTTAGATGTTTGAATCAAATACATTTTCATTTGCCCTCCTAAGTAGCTCCCTCCTTCCATTATATGCTGTTGCACTGTGAGCACTTTCTTTACTTGATGTCTTGCCATATTTATACCTCCCTAGCTTCTTTTTTAATCATTTCCTGTTTTCTCATGTCTTATGACATAACCATGAAACTGATTTGGTCCTTTTTTACTCTCTCGGGGGCTCTCAAAGAGCTTTTGAATTGATTTTTTGAAACCTTTATTGCTGTCTTATTGCCCTATCTGCTACGTCTCTCTCCTGCCTCCCGAGCCCTGTGACAAGAAAGTCACTTCTGAAATTCCCAAGTGGGACTCTGATCAGTACGTTCCACTGATCAAGTGTCCTCCCCTGACCCACAGCGCCACGTGCTCTACTCGACTCTGGATATATTGACATGTCCAGCTTGAAACAGAGCTCAGGCCTTTCCAGTTCAGTCGACTTGGCTCCCTGCCATGACTCGGCACCAGCAGGGGTGTAGGTAGCGGTGCGCTCACTCCTTGGCCTAGACCAGCCAGGTTTACTGAGCCCTTTGCAATCTGAATTGGATTGCTGCTGTTTAACAGCAGTATTTCTCGATCCTATCCGAACTGCAGTGGAATTACTGTCGTCATCTAAAATGTAAAGACTTGAACTGTTTGGAAAAGCCAGCGCATGGACTTCATAAAGAAGATTAACTAAGCCTTCTCTTGCACAGAGCATTAGAGAGGCCAGAAATTGTTTCCTTGGCAGTGCTGTACATCAAACGAGATGAGCAGGGTTTGCACTTCTGTCTTTTCTTATTGAGGTTTACATGCTGGTCAACAGTTCTGAAGCTTAACAGTTGACATTTCAAGAGAGACTCGTTTGAAGCTGGATAGGGAACAATATACATCCACCTGAAATGAAAAGTATAATTCCCTCCAAATTCCAGATTGTGCTTTCTGAAGGGAATTACTTTCAGAGGCAGAACACCAACTAATAAGATTTTCTTTTTCCACGAACAGGGTATTAAGGCTATAATTCACTTTTAATACTCCCGAAAACTCATGCTGTAAGGGGTAATAGGGTAAACAAGCAAGTGGAATCAATTGGTGCTCCAGCTGACCCCAGAATCCCAGGAGAGTGAACAATACTCTATTTTCAGTGCCTGGACATCTGAGCTGGCTGTTCTAAAATCAGTGTATTGTTCAAATTTAGGTAATGAATGAGAATGATAGGTTTATATCAAGTCAGCAGCAGGTGGAGATTTTGACAGTTTAAGTTCCCAGAGGTTGTCAAAAAAATCTCCCCGCAGACATTCTTCAAGAAAAAAGAATGTGAATGTTTCTCGTTTTCAGTTGAGAAACCCTTATGATTTATCCTCATAAATCACTCACTTGTGCTCGCTTTTATCATGCTGCTTCAGAGACAAAATAACTTGAAAATAGTTTGGGGGGTTTTAACAAGGCAGATTCTTTACTGACGGTGTTCAAAGCTTCACTGTTTTCCGATACGAAAAGAACCATCCTCAATCAGTCCTCTAAGAAGTGCAACGTTTTTTTTTAGAGGTTTCACTCTTAACAAGCCTGTGCACCAGGTAGCAAAAAGGTATGGAGACTTTAATTTATGCCATTTTATTGCTTTCCTGAATAGTGCTATTTGAGCTTACCGTCATAACCTGGACTGGAGTACAGACAAGTCATTTCATTTCATAATAGGAAGGATGTTTTTTTTTTTTATTAAATGGGTTAGGACCCTGTTCAGAACAGTTCAGAACAGTTGCAGCATTTCTCTAATTTTGTTGGTCGTTTAATAGGTTAATACCAGTAGCACAAGAGTGCAGTATGTTGTTAATATTTCGTATGTTTTAGTTGTTAACAGAACTGCAGAACTGAGTGTTGAACCGATCTGCTGGGCACATCAGGAATGTTTAATTCATGAAGTGCTGCACTGATTGTGTTGGGTTTTGAAGGATTGCATGGAAACCGATCCTGGGTGTAACATGCCTGGTTTTCAACTACAAAGAAATAGCTTCACTTTGCCTGCAGATATTGTAGATGTGAGTGGACACAGCAGTGACTGCAATTTAACCCCATAAAATGACATGACCTAGTAGATCAAAATTAAGTATTTTGTACATTTGTGCACTGGGTGTTGTGGGAGTGGCAAAGACGAATGGAGACTTTTCCCTCAACTTGTCAGTTTTCTACATGCAGCTCCCTTAAACACAAGTAATACTTAAGGGGGAAATGAAGGTTAAGTTACTTTGTGCATCTGACCTTTGGCTCTAAAATGTGATGTCCTGTATTAAACAGTAATGCTGGGAAGCTTTCATTTGTTTTTCAGACATAGTCAAGGGAGATGTAATTACATACTGAGTGTCTGAGGACCGAGGCGTGTTTTAGTTTTAAGACGCTCATAAGATGTTTCCATTTCCGATTTATGTCTATTAGAAAACAAAGATTTGACCTTATCTTCCCCTTCCCTTTGAGTTCTGACATCAGTGGAATCAAGCTGGTCTTCATTCGAGCACGACCCTTTTCCCTCCCGCTTATTCATCTGTTTTATTAATCGCTGCACCCTGACAATGCCAGACTGCTGCTTCACTGCTCTGACACTGCCTCATTTTCAACATTGTTTCCTTACTTTTGACTTTTTCTGTGCACAAGACTGAAAAACACTTCAGCTGCTCCTTCATGTCAGCTTAACGAAGTCTCTAGTGGCTGCCTTTTTATATGATGAAGACGCTAATTGCTAGTGGTGCCGAGGACTAAATGATGATAATTACTGCATTGAATAAAGACAGCTGAGTGTAAATGGATTGGCAAAAGCTTTTTGATTTTCCAGGCCATTACAAACGGGGCAGCATTTTTATTTGCTACATTTCTGTTTCATGTTTCACAGATTTCACTGCTTGTTATTTCACTGCTTGTTAAAGATCTACTGAGCACTGTATGCTTGCACCAGCTACTGCCATTTCCTTATTGGTGTTGGGCTCCTGTGTTTGTTATTACCTTTGGTCCTGGAAGTAGAGCAGAAGAGAGTTAAAAAAGCTCTTCCTCAGAGTGGAGTGTCAACAAACCAAACAGGAATTTAAAGCCAATAAGGAACCGTGGTGGTGTGTGTTAATATTTAAAGTATCTTGAACTTAATAGATCCGTCACAGGCCATTGCATCCTAGGAAATGCTGGCTAGAATTGTTGTCGGGTAGGATTCGGTGATGTGGGAAACGTGCGGGGAGTATTTGCGAGGCCTGGTGCGTGTTCCTGGGCTGAGCGTGGCTTCTTCCTCTCGTCGCAGGCACGGAGAAGGTGCGGCAGGCCCAGGGCTGCAGGCACCTGCACGTGGTCAATCCCGACTGGCTGTGGGGCTGCCTGGAGCGCTGGGAGAGTGTGGAGGAGCAGCTGTATCCTCTCAAGGAGGACTACATCAGGACGCCAAGGTAGACGTGCGGGCGGCGAGTGACCGGTGTTTCTTTGTCCGGCGCCATGGGGGCTCGGAGATTCTTCTACCCCATCGGGCCCAGCACGAGAAGGAGCAGCGGGCCTTCTCACTGTACGAGCAGTGCGCTGATGGAGAGTAGGCACATAAAGAGTGTTCTGTGCCGCCACAGATGTAGATGAATAGGTGTCTGAGGTATTTTGTGGGAGAGAGAGAATTGGGCCTCGTGGAGTGCATTTTTAAGAACCCCCTGGTGTTGGACAAGGAGAGCAGGCGAGAGCTAACAAGTTGTGGGGTTTATGAAGTAAATCAGGTTGGAGAGATTTAATTAATTGAATCCGAGAGAACTCTGTGTACACAGAGAGGTGTTGAGCAGGGGAGAGAGAGAGAGAACATGGGCATCATCTGGTGAGTGAACTCCTTTCCCTCAGTGTTCCCTAGAAGGAGACTAATGATCTACATTCCCAAAGGAGGTCAGTCAGCAGTTATTACAGAGTTAAGAGTCTCAGGCCACTAAAAATGCCAGAAAGATCCTGTGACGATGCTGGTGAGGGCCTTGTTAACCTGTCAGAGACGGAGGAACAGCCTCTAACACTTAATGTATTACTGCCTTTTCTTAATCTCGAAGATTAAAGGGTAAAACATGATTGCTGCTTTCCCCTGGTTTCTCCGTCGCTCTCCCTGTGAAGAATCGTTTGAAAGGCCACGCTAGCGCTATTCTGTTATCTTTCTGAAAGAGTCATTCTGGGATTCAGAAAGGGCGCTGCTGCCTCCTGTTTACTGATTTGCTGTCCAAGCCCACCCTGACACATGGTTGACCCCCTCCTCTCCGCCCCTTCAGAAGCAGCAGTCCCGCCGGCTTCCCCGATGCCCAGGGCGCCTGCCCCACCCCGGTGTTTCACCCCACGCCTATCCACCCGAGGACGCCCGCGGGGCCCGAGGTGCGGACGTACGACTCGGTCACGGGCAAGCTGATCCGGAAGGGGCCCCAGAGCTCCCGGCCCTCTCCCTACGCCCAGGCTTCCGGGCCCCCAGTGCCCCTGCCGGCGCACGGAGACCAGTCTTCCTTCAGGTAGAGTCACAGCGGGACTGTTAATGGCAAAGGAGGTGAAGCTTTCGTCCTTTATTGCTTTTGGTTTCCTCTCAAGCGCTCCAGGAGCTTAAGGCAGCTCAGCCGGTGGAAGACTGCGTTCACCAAGGGCAAACCACACTTGTTATCACTTTAAGTACCTAATGCTTGTTGAGCTTTTACACATTCCTTGTCGTCTGCATTCATTCTTATTTTTTTTTAATCTGGGCTTTCGTTTTGTGTGATGTTCCTTTGGCCAATAAAGTTTTTTGTTCAACTTGCTCAAAATTGGTTTCAAAAGTAAATTTTTTTTGGGGGTGTCTGGTGCGGTTGACAAAATTGACTTGCCTGTTTTTTAAGGCGTGTGTTATACAGCACATGTTAAAGTGCAACAGTTTTGATTTTTCTCAAACCTCAAAAAAGCTTGAGGCTCTTTAAGCTTTTAGTGAATGTGTGAACTGATTCTGATCAGTGATTAGAACCCAAGTGAGCTCTCTGCTGACAAATGACCAAAATGCACAGAGGACAGAAGTACTGTACGTGTCTGACCAGGGCTTAGGTTTGTTTTAAAAGATGCTGCCAAATGAGTCCTTAAAAATGCCTCAACCAGTAAAGGTCATGAAGGACCCCGAGGAGCCCATTGCTGAACCCGGGCTCCACTCTGGGTTTAGTCTGCTCTTTGCTGCCTGTCACTGAGGGTTATCCTGAGCATTGGTTTGGCCCAGTACTCCTACACAGAACATAAGAGAAGTTACGAATGAGAGGAGGCCATTTTGTCCATGTGGCACGTTTTGTAGTGTGTATCTACTTCATTCGGCTATTTTAATATTATTTTCAGTGTTCTTCATGTGTTTGCTTTTTGGGTTGCTGATCTTTTTACCTTCTTGTTTAAATGCTCAGCTTTACATCACACGTCCTTTTGACACAAAAGTACTAAGTGAAGTGGCAAGTCTGAAAGTGGAGACTGCAGGTACTGGCAAGTTAGGTCTTTGGGCCTGACGAGTTCAATCTCAGGCTTCTCGCACTGGGCGTCAGAAGAGATAAATAATTGAATAAATGCTGAAATTGTCTAAGCAAAACCTTCAAAGTGAAAACCTATTCCGTTGTGTCAGCAAAGACTGGTGAATAGAGTTGTGAATAAAAGTAAGGTCATAAAAGGAAATGCTGGAAAGATTTTTTTTGCAAAACAAATAATGCTGGCAATGTATCTTTTGAAAGCTGCTATCAGTTTTTTTTATTACCCTCTTTGGCATCAGAAGGATATGCTATTTGGTTTTTGCTGGTGCAGTTTGCTGTTTTTACTGAGGCAGAGAACAGTGTTTGTTCTTCTTCACAGTAATTCCTGTGTTCCTTGACGTATTCACTCTTCCAGTTTGGAAAGTGTCTTGGCTTTGGGAAATTGGGCAGCACCGAATGTACTGCTTTTCCTGGGAAAGCTGTTCGATGGTGGAGGCTAGGTGTGTTGACTGATAGATTAGCTTTGCTTCTGTGAGGACTCTGCTTCGTTCTCTTGAGTACCACAAGAGGTTCTGAAGCCAGTTCTGTCAATAATGACAGGATGTTCATTCTTGGCAGTCGTGGGAAGCGAGCTCTTTCTGTGGCTTGAGGTCTTGGGCTTTCGAGGAGCACTGTGTGATGTTATCAAAGGGCCACCTTTGATTTTGTGACGTCCATTCCTTGCAACCTTTGAAATGAAAGAATAAAAGAGGCAGGTGGACAAAAAGAGAACTCTGGCAGTGTTGTGTCAGCTAGATCTGGGAGTAACACATTAGAGGGGGCGAGTTCTGGCCAACCTGTATTTGAGAAGAGCAGTGTGCAGTGAGGCAAAAGCACGTAGCTCTGTGTTTCAGTGGAAATTGCTCCCAAGTTTGCTTTTGCAAACTTAGTCACAGTAGTGCAGCCCCAGCTGTCAGGTCCAGTTGTGTACTGAACATCAAAAGAGCTTTACTTTATTTACTCACTTACTTATGCATGTTTTTTAAATTATAGATTGTATGGTATTTGAATATTGAAGTGATTTTGAAATTTGTAATCAATTGATCGTCTGTAACTGGCCGTGATACACTCAAGTGACTTCTCGGGCTCAGAGACCAATGAACAAGCACTTTCGTGTCTGGAATCTACAGGGACAGAATCCCACTTTACTGCATCTACAACCTGGTATAACTCCTACGTCTGATGTACAGTTTGTATTGCTTGCAGCAGTGGACACACACATTGCTATTCTCTGACTTTCACAGTGCACTGTCATATCTGTTCAATAAAATGTCAGTGCAGCTGCTACTAAAAATATCATTTTCTTGATAATGTTATGAATTTGTTGCAGTTAAGAGTGTTATTTGTTTCGTGCGCTGTGTGAAGCATGGTGATGGTTAAAAGTAGTCATACAGTATAGTAAGAAGCTGGCCTGTACTTGGATGGGAGACCTCCTGGGAAAAACTAAGGTTGCTACTGGAAGAGGTGTTAGTGGGACCTGTGGCCTTACCTTGCAGTCTGTGTAGGTTTCATGCCCCAGTATAGTGATGGAGACACTATACTGTAAATAAAGTGTAAAAAAGGTATATGTCCTTTGCATGAGACGTAAAACCGAGGTCCTGACCTTGGTCATTAAAAATCCCAGGGCATTTCTTAAAAAGAGTAGGGGGTGTAACCCCAGTGTCCTGGCCAAATTTTCCCTTGGCCTTTAACAATCATGGCCTCCTAATCCCTTCTATGAATTCATCACTCTGTTAGCTGATGTGTTTCTGGACACTCCACTCAAAAGTGCTTTACAGGTGATGGGGACTCCCCTCCACCACCACCAATGTACAGCATCCACCTGGATGATGCCACGGCAGCCAGTGCGCCAGTATGCTCAAGACACACCAGCTATTAGTGGGGAGGGGAGCAGAGTGATGAAGTCAATTCATAGATGGGGATTATTCAGAAGCCATGATTGGTAAAGACCAGATGGCAATTTGACCTGAACACCAGGGTAACACCCCTACTCTTTGATTGTTAATGACCACAGAGAGTCGGGACATCAGTTTTACGTCTCATCTGAAGGACGGTGCTTTTTTACAGTATAGTGTCCCCGTCGCTATAATGGGGCATTAGGACCCACACGGACCACAAGGTGAGCGCCCCGCCCCCTGCTGGCCCACTAACACCTCTTCCAGCGGCAACCTTAGTTTTTCCCAGGAGGTCTCCCATCCAGGTACTGACCAGGCTCACACCCGCTTGGCTTCAGTGGGTTGCCAGTTGTGTGTTGCAGGGTGATATGGCTGCTGGCCTTTGCAAGGTGACTTCAAGTCTGATGCACTTTGGATATAATCAAAAGTGTCTATGAATTAGCTCTGCCCTTTAAAAAAAAATGCCATGGGTTGCGCTGGGCAATTTGAAAATTATTGCCGGGGAGATAATTCAAAGGAGTTCAATATTTGAAACAATCAAAATCTGACTAAGAATGTGGAAGTTACAACCATCAGAGCTAACTGCTGACCGTTTTTCTCCTTCATTAAATTTTCATCTCGCTTTTCTGGTTTTTAATGAGCCCAGGTTATTGTACCTTCTATCTAAAACCCATTACCAGTGAATGCGAGAACAAGTCAGCAATTATTGTCAGTTGTGATTGTTAGTGTAGACATCCAGCTTTCTTCACTCACATAATTTTGTCCCATCTTCTAAAATCAGCTTTTGTTAAAATTCTTTTTAGCAGTCCTGGAGACACCGGAATTATCTGCAGGGTGCCCTGTGAAGATTGTAAATTTTAATATCAAAGCATCTTTGTTGGAGTTGTTACTGTTGTTTGAATGCCACTGGCAAAGGTCTTGATTTAATGTTCCCTTCCTTTGTCTTTAAAAATGTAAAAAAGGTTGTACGTTACTTCCTGTACTGTGTGTAAAACATTTTCATTTTTTGACTTTTTCATCCTGTGTACTTGTTACCAGTTTTATGAAATGTGTGGTAGTTCTGCTGTATGTTTTTGTGAAGCGCTCTCCACTGGAATTCCGTTCGACCACTGCCAGACTGCCAGCCCTTTTCTCAAACTTTGTGCGAGAATCACTTCGGGAGAATCTTCCTTAGCGTTTCATCGTACCCACGTTTCTCGCGCCTCTGAAATAATCTTTTAGCCTTGTGTGTTTATTTCTTGCTTCCAGCATAGGCATCTTCTTAGGACACTGCTGGCGGAGCGGATGGGCTTTTCATTAAAAACTGATTTTCATTCCCATTTTAATTAGTGACCGCTTTAAAGTGCTCCTTTAAAATCGCATTGATCTTAGACCAGTTAGGCTGAATTTGTGGTGACTGTTTTGAGTTCTGGCTATTTTAGACCAGATAATGCAGCTTCTCGCTCGCAGGGTTACAAAGCAACATACATTCATGCTGTGGATTTAAGAGATAATTGAGAGCTGCATTGGTACAATTGTGGAAGAGGCTTGGACAAGAAAGTCTTTAGATGGAGAGCATTAAATATCCAGTGGCTTTTGTATTCATGGGATATCCAATTTTTAATTCTTAGTCCCTAGCAATAACCTCAGCTAAAGAAGAAAGAAATATGTTATTGCCTAGTACTGTATTTCTAAAGAAAAAAAAGTGCTGATGTACGGCATAGTAAATCTACAGTCATTTTAGAATAGCTAAGTTAAATTTGTTTCACATAGAAGTTCAATGACTTTTGTCTCTACACACCAAGCATTTTACCTGCAGAATATATGTGAAATAATGTGCAGATTAATGAAAGCCCTATCGAAATCTGTAGTTTTAATTTGTTGCAACTGTAAAAACAAGCCAGTATATATTACAGTTCCTCCAATATAGGTGAATTGTCATCAGATCACATGAATGGCTCTAATAGTTCTGTACATGCAGTGGGTTTGAAGTGCAGAAAGCAAAGAGTTTGCGACAGACTGTTAAGTGCGTGTGGGTTTTCAGTCGGCTGGTGTTGGTGAGCTTTGCTGTCCTCTGGTGGCAACCTGCTGTCCATCGGCCTTGAAGGCTGTGACTTAAAAATCTAGCCGAAGAGTCTTGGAGCAGGGCTCTTCAAAAGCCAAGCAAAATGTATTTGGCAGCTCATGAAGGCCTGTGTATGACAGAGGGGCTCCGCAGTGACACTGCGTGAAGACACTTTGCAGCATTCCAGCAAGACTGAGTAAATTTGGTTATATTTTTCCACACCAACTATTTGCTCATGCCACAAGCTAAGTCACAGAATCCAGACTTCTTAGAGTTTAGAGTTTGGACCAGGGGTTGGAGGGGGAGGGCTAGGGTGCAGAATTCAACAGAAGTAAGAACTAGTGGTTCAGACTAGAGAAGGAAACTACTCGGTCCTGCTTAAGAGTCCTTGAATTGCTTATTTGTAAGGTGTAAAGTTTTTCTTTGTTTGGAAAGAATGGTGTGATGAGTTTTTAGACGTAATTTTTGTATTTCTGGAGCTTCTTCGACTGCATGGAATTCTTAGGAAAATGTTACACTTGAGTTGGAGAAACCAAGCTAAATTGAGCACAGCTGAGTCGATTTTCAAGGTAAGGCAGGGTCATTTTTTTTAGATTTTTTAGCAAAAACTAAGGGTTAACATGAAAGGAATTAGTTAGGTTGTGAATTACTTATATCTGTGGGAGCCTCTCTGATTGATATCTGGGATTCATGAGCCATGGGCCTTAAAGTTGTCCAGTTGACTTGTAATGATTGTTAACCACCTGGTAAGCTATTGCAGGCACTGGCAGTTTATTAATTATTTCTATACACTGTTTGCTGTATTCCCAGAAATGAATAAATCTAGAAACACTATTGGACTCCAGAAGCAGGAGGAGCTTTTCCTGTTTTCCTTGTTTTAACAATTGAAACCATGTGGCTGGAACGGACTCACCAGTGAGCTACATTTTGCCTGGTGGATGGTGCGTGTTCATACGTCGAGAGCAAATCTGGTGAAATTTGTCCATAACGTGTGGTTGTGTTTTTTTGTTCATCTGAGTGCACTTGGGATGTGTTTAGTCCATTAGTGACCGGTCACATGTTGTGTGGCAAATAAAACATGTTAACCAGCAGTTAAAACCTTACAGTTGTACATGCAGTTCTTTGTATGTATACAAGAATAATATTTTACCTACATAAAAGAGCCTGAGTTGTATAGACCTATATTTAAAAATTGGTAATTGGTGATTTAATGTAAAATTACTTTCTTTTTGTCCATTGTTTTTTCAGTAAGGAAAAAAAACTATTATGGAAAGGTAATAAATACCTAAATAAAATAAATCTTATTGATGATCAGTTATGGCTTATTTCCTTCATGTCGCAATGTCCTTGTTTTTTCCTTCTTGTAGAATGAAATGTTTGGGTTGTTTCCTTTTTTTTTCTCTTCAGTTTCAGTATTGGAGTTCTGAAAATAAATATCCTGTAGCTTTGACCATCAAAGAGGGGTAAATTACAGCCCTTTTGGCTTCTGTGTTTGTTTTCCACATGATACATTTTCAGTTTGTGGTGCCGATTGCTCATTCGTGAGCCGTTCTGGGAGCTGGCAAACCTTGTGAAAGCCTGTGGCTGAACTAGTGGAGGTTCATCAACACGATCGAGCCTCGATGACCTCTCCTGTTTCTGTTTGCTTGCAGTAGAATTGCAGGCAGGTCTCGGTGAGGAAGAGGGCACTGTCATTCTTTTCTGTCAAACGCGAAAGCAGGGTGCGCAGCAGTTGTGTTTTTTAAATGGGGGAGCCCCATGGGGTGAGCCCAGGGTGTGCTGTGACACCAGTGGTGCCGTTTGTGTCCAAACATCGCAGTGCTGCAGTAATGTCTTCCGTTTGCTCTCTGTGGTTCAGTACCTCCTAGTTAAATTCACGGGGTGTATAAGAATGTAGGCCGACCTGTTTAAATAGTTGTACTGCAGAAATTGTGCATCGCACAGTGGGGAAGTGGGGCACACGGATCAGACCACAGGGAACACATTCCCAAGGCCAATGACTATGAACACCAGAGGGTGCTAACGTCACCGGTTCACCACCACAGCACAAGCCCTGGTAATGCAGTGTGTTCCTTCTTTCACACACCAGTCCTCAACACCTCTGGTTATTTCCGAGCTCATCTCACCCATACTCCATTTCACCACAGAGCATAGCTTCTTGAGCCTTGTAAGCTAGTGGCCTCGAATAGACCAGTCTTACATAAGAATATTAGAAACATTACAAATGGCAGGAGGTCATTCAAGCCATTAAGCTTATTTGGTTGCTATGTGATCACCAAATCTCATCCAGCTGTTTCCTGCAGGGCAACATTCAACCTTCACCTTCAACAACATTGCTTGGTGGTTTATATTCCCACAACCTTCTGTGTAAAAAAAAAAATACTTAATGTTCTCCGTTTTATAAGCATGTTGTCATTTTTTCTATGTGTTCTCTGTTATGAGTTTCCCTGGTCTTTGTCAATGCCTTTGAGGATTTTGAATTCTAGAATCAGGAACTTTTCTACTCTTTTCATAGAAGACTAAAAAGATTCAGTTATTTTAGTCTATTATGCCTTTAAGCCCAGAAATGTATCTGGCTGCCCTCTTCTAAACTGATTTCAGAGCGGCAACATATTTTTGTAACAGGGTAATCGAAATGGTAAACAATATTCAAAATGAAGTTTTAGGAGTGCACTATATGATTTTGAACATAACATCTTAAAACCAAGTGTTAAACGTATGCTTTTATATAAAAAAGATGCCAGATATCCTGATAAATAAGGAATTGCAGTGGTCCTAATACAGGTTCCTGTGGTACTCTGCTAATAACATCATCACCCCTAGTCAGTATCTTCAGTCTAAGAACCAATTCTTAAACTATATCCTGTTGCATAAATATCCCTTATCATCATCTTGGCTTAAGAACAGAAATTACTCTGAAAATCATGTTCTGACACTTTACAAGAAAGGTTCCATTTAGGTGTTGGAACTGGTTGGTTTGACAGATGCTGTGAATCAAAAAAATTGACAGCTTTTTCAAAGACAACATACAGAAGCTGCTTGCCTTAAGGACCATTATGGTAATGATGGGGACAGTGGTGACACTGAAAATCGCTGGCATTCCGTTATCTAAATTGCAGAAACGCTAATCCACACAATATTCATCTTCTGTTTCTCCCACGTGCCAGCCTGTGAGTGGCTGTTAGTTCAGCTCTCCGAGCTCTTGGTAATCTGTCATCTCATTTTAATTAAAGGAGTGGATGTGACTTTTAATCGGTAGCAGCTGTTTTTTCAGCACTGATTTTAAAAGCTCCAGCTTTTTTTAGGCATTTCTTACCTTCTTTACAAAAATGCAGAGACACCACACATTTTAAATTTGTGTTCTATAAGTGGTCCTAGCAAACTTATGTGTATATATAATACATATAAAAAAGAGCACATGGTTAAGTAGGTGTAGATATGATGGTGTCTTTTTCTTTGTAATCTTACCTCTTTGTCTTTAGCACAGATGTTTGGAGGTAAAAACACTGTGTGCTTAGATCTTAACAGCTGTTCTTTTGAGTTTTTTTTTAATTTTGTTAAGGAATAATCTGAAGGTGGCAGTTTCCCAGGCTCACTGCAAATAATCTTCTTGGGGAAAATGTGTTGAAAAAGTAAAAAACTTTGTGTAATTTGTCGCTTATACTCGCGATGGGGTTTTGTCAGTGCTTGTTTTTTTTTTCCTCCATTGACTGCCTTGAAGGAGAAAGGGAGGGAGTTTTAAAAACAAGGGCCCGAGAGTGCTGGGCTGTTAGCCCTTGACGATGGCTTGTTTCACCCGCAGATCACACCAAGGTGTCCACACGCCTCTTCCTGGATTCCCCGGGCCGGGGCGTGGCCACCCTGAGGTTCCCAGCAGCCCTTGTTTTGTCGTTGTCCAGGGTGGTGCAGCCGCCGCTGCCCCAGCAGGAGGAAGAAGAAGAAGAAGAAGAGGAGGAGGAGGAGGAGGCGTCGCTGGGGCCCAGCGGAGACAAGGAGCGGCCAGGCCCCTCTCGCAGGAAGCGGCAGCCCAGCATGTCGGAGTCGATGCCGCTGTACACGCTGTGCAAGGAGGACCTGGAGAGCATGGACAAGGAGGTGAGAGCGCTGCTCTTGTGGTCAGGCGGTATGGCCAGCGGGCCGTGGCACCCGAAAGAAATCTGCAGGGCTTGGAAACCTCCTGCGAATCAAATTCTCTTATGCGCTTCATGAAGTGTGAAACCACTGGTCTGTGCCCAACATCTAGGGCATCATTCCTTAGTACACAGACCTCCATCCAACTGACACAAATTTATCATTTTCACAGACCTCCAGAAAAAAAATGTAGAATTATGTGAAGCCATTAAATTTTTCTAACAAATCCTAATAATGACACAATAATAGAGAAAGATGAAGGCATAGTGCAGTACTGGTTATTGTAGCTTTTAGTCAAACACGTATACAAACAGTGCTGCATCACTATGGCGACATTAACATGACAGACCCATTCAGGTGCAGCTGGCAGCTTGCACCAAGCCTTGACCAGTCAGCTGGGCTGCTCGTGACACGTGAGGGTCGTTCGGTCAGTCGCCCTGCTGACCGCACAACCACTGCTCGCCCAGAAGGGCTTCCTTTCCTGTCTCCATCAGGGCATGAGGGTGAGCTCTCCCTGCCTTCCACACGCTCGTAGTTAACTGCCACAGCCACAGTGAAATCCAAGGCGTGACGCCGGGGTTTAGAAAAGGGAGGTGAAACATTCAACTGCCTCCGGTTCTTTGCACATCTTTAGAGAACGTGAAATGCTACACCAAGCCGAGAGGAAGAGGATTTGAACAGAGCACAAGTGATATCAGGGTGAATCAGCACAGGGGTGCTCATTACAGGGACCTTAAATCACCCCCAGCTGCCAAAATGTTAATTTAGCCATGTAGAGGATTGATTAATGAGTCACTCAAACTTTAAGTAGTGTTGCAGTTACAAATGTTTGTCACAACTTCTTCATGTTGCCAATTGAACATGTTTCATTGCCAATTCTAGCCTAGGAACATAGATTTTGTTACTTCTTGATTTATAATGTATCAGTTTTGGTGAACGAAGCATTGAAGTACAATATATTTCATTCAACAGTGTGCAAAGGTTGTTTATTGTCACCAGTATATATACATACAGTACATCTTGAACACCATTCTAAAAATGTTCTAAATGTTTTGAATTTCATTGAGGGCTCTGCACATAGTTTCAAGACATTGTTTTGTGCGAAAACTAAACCCAGAAATCGCATAGCCATCAGAGCACAGCCTGCTGTTTGCGAGACGTGTAATTCTGTGCAGACGATTTCAGAGCCTGCAGAGTGCACAGCCTCCTCCTTTCACAGATTCATTTTCTTAAACAGCACTGTCTAGAATCAGACATCAGACGCTGTCAGATCTGAAAAGTTGTCAGCGTGGATTGTAGGGTTTTGAACCGTGGCATTGATGTGTTGTCAGGTCTTGTATGCTCTGGCTTGAGGGAAATATAAATTAAATAAAAGAACACTGTTTGTAACTCTTGGCTGTTTTTGCTCAGAGCTAGACAATACAAAATAAATCTCATGCGACGGTTTAGAATGTAGTTTAGAATTTAGTCTTAATTTTATTTTTGCTTTAATATAGCAAATACACTTTAGAATGTAAATTTTGTAATTGGCTGGAGTCTGATCGGTGTGGCTTATAGCAGGATTTGATTAGAAGAGTCTCTCCATTTTCTTTCTGTAGCCTATGGAATATCCCAGTACAGCACTTTTTCCATTAACGGCCCTGGCGCTCCTTTTTCAAAGGAAACGTGCATCACGCAGATAGTGCGAGCTAGTAACAGGTAGAGTCTTGTACAGATATCCCAACAGGGGCTCCAGAGAAGATCCCGCTGCGTTTTATCCAGCTGGCCACCATCTTGGAGCCAGACTGTGATGTGTCGTGCCGGTTTTCAGTGGCGTTCTTTGATTTTCTGAGAATGAGTGATAGGGGATTGACAGCAGAGGTCTTCAGGCTGTGACCAGTGCTGCAATGAAACTGATGCCTTGAGTCGAGTTGAAATGTTAAATTTGGAAGGGTGTGCACTACACGTACAGGAGGTGCTCCAGTGCCCTTAGTGTTTCGAGGTGGGCTAGAAGAAAGTCCTGTGGCTGAGTAAAGCGGTCTTAAGAGGGTGGATTACAATTATCGTGGGGCGGAGGGTGGTAGACGTCGCAAGGTAGGTTTCCCTGGATGCAGATTAACTGCACAGTGAGGTCTGAAGCCACGCCAAGGCAAGGAAAGTATGCATCAGCCACCTTGTTTTTACTGCGTCTTTACTGAAACACTTGAACGCAGAGGTTGTCAACAAGGGGGAGAAAAAAAGTGCAGAGGGCTGGGTCAGTTGCTAGTCTGTGTGTAACTAGTTGCTTAGCATTAGGACTGAGTGGGCTGAGAGGAATACAGCTTGAACTACATTGTCCAGTCTGGCCTCTTAGGTTTCAGTATAATGCAGCATCTGATTAGGCTTCTTGTTGTTTGGCATTATATTGTTTTTGATTAAATATCCCTTTAATTAACTCTTCAGGGACCAGACATTTCAATCCTCTTACTTCTGCTTGGCTGTGGTAGTCATAGGTCTTTTAAACTGGAAGGTTCATTAAAAACCTCCAAGCGTACCTTAGTGGCTCAGTTGCATATATCTGTGCTTTTCAGTTGCGCACTGAGCTTCAGGTTTTAGAATAGTTCCTAAAATGCTTACAGGCATACAAAATATATGACAACTTGGGTTGCCAAAGGGTAGGTTTTATTCCATTGCTTACTAAAAAAAGTCATTTTAAGCAATAAAATATAAAGAATGTTTTACGCACCAAACACCAACAGTAAAAAAAGACAGCAAGTAAGAATGGGAGATTCTGCAGTCTGTGGTTAAATCCTGTAATGTCTTAATACTTATAAATTAATGCTTTGTCAAATATTACATTGTCAGATTTATATACTTAATGTACACCTTTTAAAATATTGAATGTGCTAATTATGTTTTGCAACAAAAGTAAATCCTTTTCAAATACCTCTAAATGCCGTTTTTTACAAAATGCTATGGACGGGACGTACGCAGTCCTTCCAAAACAATGTAGTTTAAATCCAGTGAAGTAACGATATATGTTACAAGCAGACTGGCAGACCTGTTTTACAGGTTCATGGTCTCTCAGAGGAGCCCTGTATCTTTCAGTTTAGGTTAAAATAACTGTTAAATGAATTTTTAACCACAGAGGTATCTGGAAGGGAGAGTCTTGTTGAAGTTGTTCTATTAAGCTACTGTGTTGAAATGAATATTGAAGTGGGAAAATGATTTCTGAAAGAAAAAAAGAACAGCTCAAGGAAATGGCTTATTTAATTTAGGAAAAAAAGTATGAAACTTCTGATATCCCTGTTTAATAGTTAAGCAGAACGATAATGAAAAATGATCACTCACAGGTTGCTGTTCTCTTGAAGCGAAACTGCCTTGATAATTATCTTGCAGCTTGCACATTTATTGCTCTGGAGACAATCGGTCAGCTCTTTCATTAAAATGGTTTATGTAAAAGATCTGTAAGTCCTGTCCATTTTAAACTTTACACATATTATTTACATGTTAGAACGTTTATTGACATTTATTTTCAAAGACTGGAAATCCTAGTTTGGGATCTGTATGGAACGCTGAACGTGACCTATTCAAATAGATATATTCTATAGCTCAGATGCAACCCAAATTCACTGTTATCTCTATTACAGTCCCTACAGTACATTGACTAAAGTTATAGTAAATAACGGTGTGACTGATTTAGCTCTGAAGAAACTAAATGTTTTTCTTTACGTCTTAAAAAGCAAGAGAGAGGAGAGAGAAAAATATGCCTCATTTTTAAATGACCATTGACCTAGAAACATAACCATCTGCTCAGTTTTCAGGTTTATTTGAAGGTTGTAGACCTAATTGATTTCTTACTGACCTCAGAGCCAAATATAGTAAAGTTAGTAAAGAAAATGAATAATGTAATATTGGTTTATCAGGGAAAAATAATCTTCATGGCAATTAGTTAAGACAGGCCGATTGTCTAAACACGATTCACACATAAAATCTTTTTCATATGAAGGTTTTGGTTTCCACGCTATAAGAGGGATATTGCAGTTTTTAAGGTGGTACAGAGTGACCAGACTAATACCTGATCTTAAAGGAATGTTGTACTCAGATGAAGAGAACAGAGTCTCTTTAGCAAGAGAAGATTGCAGTGTTATTTAGAGTGCACAGATTGTTTAGCCACCAGCTATCAAATGAAGGAGATGCCCTCCTTTTGTGTGTAATTTTTAATTTTTAATTAACTTTATTTCCACTAGAAGCATGTGTCTGTGAACGTTGTTCCTGTGTGTCTGTGGCCTGTAACCCCCCCCCCCCCCCCCCCAACGGTGTACCCCTGAAAAAGTCCTGTACTTTAAGAATTTCAGGACCTAGTGAACCCTAACCTCATACCAGATATCTGCACTCACAAGAGAGAAGAGGATGCTGGGAAGATTAGACAAACCTGACATTATGGCTTCATTGGCAGTTTCCCTCTGCAGTACATACAGTATAATCCTATTACATGTACATTACAGATGTACATATACAATTACATAATATCCATTCATTCGTTTTCTAACAGCTTCATCCAATTCAAGGTTGCAGGGGAGCCGGAGCCTGTCCTGGCAAGCAACGGACTAACAGTGGGATACACCCTAGACGGGATCCCAGTCCATCGCACCGCAATTATATACATAGTATAATATACAGTATACTGTATATATTGTGGGTAGCTCCTGAAATAGTATCTCTGCTTTTCCCCATTCGCACATGCAGTTAGTGCACGGCCAGCACAGTAGGCAAGGGAATGAAGGCCAAGGTCTGTGGGGAAAGTGAAGTCTTGAGTTTGTGTGGGCGTCCCTTATGAGAGCCTGCAGAGAGACGTGGAGAACAGCGGAGAAAGGGCTGATTTTGAAAGGGGGAAAAAAAAAGCAACACTTCTATATATTAAAATATTCTTCACAGCCATCCAGTGCTTTAGACTTTTGTGGGATTCTGACTTCATTAGGTAATGCTGAGCCGGGAGCCAGTGA